TGATTCTTATTTAAGAGTTGGTTTAAGTGGAATTTTGTTAAGAAAAATAATATTTCCTTAATGAGTCTGCTTTCCTCTGAAGTTGCATGTCTCTAATACATTCAGGAGAGAATCCCAATACAATCATTTTTTCTTGTCTTATGGCTTTCATGTTTCGTTTATAATAGTTTATTGAGTCTCCTTCATAATTGTACATATCTGAATCAAGTTTGAACCAATTTTTTTAAGTATGCATAAATCAATTGTTACATTTGAGATTTGATCATGATGGTTTAAGTCAATTGCATGAGTCATTGGAACAAGAACCATGTGTGTTATTGGTTCAAGTTAGGTGGAAAGAAAAATCTCAAAGTATTTTGAAAACCATGAAAATTTAAGATTTTGTGTGCATGATTCGAATCATGTACATATCCTGACTCGAATCAAAGTGAGTAGAGGCAAAACAAACTTTTCAACTTCTCTGACTCGAATTCGTGTTTTAACTTGATTCAAATTCGGGAGCTTTGTGATTCGAATCACAAGTTGTACCTAATTCAAATCAGATAGATTAGAGTCACCTCTGCTTTATTTGATTCGAATCAGAGTTTATACCTGACTCCAATCAGTCTATTTTTCATATTTCTCTGCTTGGCTCTATTCAGATTGATTGAAATCAGACTTTGTACTTGATTCAAATCAAGGGCCTTATGACTTGAATTATACTTTATATTTGATACAAACCAGACAAAAAATGGGTCAAAATCTCTGTTTTCTTATTCCACTTCACTTGTTCATTTGACTCAAATCATGAGATGTTCTTGACTCAAATCTAACTAACTTTTTTCATCCATTTTTATGCTTAATCTCAAGCACATATAAATTCATCTTGTCAACTCATTTTAAAACACAATTTTACAAATATACACTTTCATAATCTACATTATGATTTTCTGAAATCAACACCCTCTCACTTTTGAAAATTCAAAAATCCTTGCAATAAGATTCTTTCATCTTCAACCTTTAGTTTTGATTTCAGATCTTGATCGTGAGATATTTGTAATTGATTGAGGGAGATGTCGTCTTGAAACTAATCATTCATGAAGATTTGGTTGAGATTTTCAGGAAGCTTGCAAGATTGAGGTTGTTGTCATTAGTCTTGACCAATTCCAGTGAAAAGAAAGAGGTTATTCTCTCCAGATAATCTTGATAGTGACTGTGTGGAAGGCTAAGAACAAGGTGAAGTTCTTCTCAAATCTTCATACAATTCATCGCTCTAAAAATCAATGGGATCAAGAGTGATTTTCACACACGAAGTCTGTGAGTATATTAGTGAAGCTGAAAGATTTAAGAAGCGTGAATCGAGCAAAGATTATGTAGAAGAGTTTGACATAACGCTGTATACAAGTCAAGATCCAGATAATAGATTTATTTTTCTCAGCATTATTGTGAATTAGTGATTATATAAACTCTTGCAATATTTGTCAAAATAAACAACAAAGTAGGTTCCAATGGGAAACCATTGAAAAATGAAGTAGGCAATTTATTATGTAAAGTTAGGTTTTGTTAAAATTGGTGCCTAATTGAGCTTTAATGCTGATTGATATCTGAAAACTATTGAGGTTAGAATTCACTGACATTGAATCATAGTATGAATACAACTCGTGCAGTATATAATTGAATTAATTGATTACCTTTTGTGTGTCATCATAAACCATCATTGGTATTTGTGAATTGAATAAGTGTTAACATGATCAAATTCCAATAAAAGTATAATCTTTCTATTTTCGCTTTAAACCTTCCACACGATCTTTTGAAAAACCTCTAATAATCCATTTTAGAGAATTGGTCGAATAATTTTTAAAGGGTCTATTCACCCCCTCTCGACCGTTTCTGTCCCATATTCTCACCCAACATCTTCGCTCTAATATGTGTTCCAACTGTGCATAAATATCTCACACCTTCTTAAATTCTCTAAGAAAAGTTGATACTCGCTTAGAAAATTCTACTTTGCACAACTAGAAGCTCTGTGACTTGCATTTCACTTAGAAAACATATGCTCGCTTAGCGAGCTTACTTATAAAATATTCATACCTTCTTGATTTTTATCCATCCTTCTGATCGCTTAACAAATATAAGTTTCTTTGTTTTCTTCAAGTCTTGACAACTTTCTCTCTTTTGATTCTTAACTCTCTTTACCTATATAAATCACAAGAAAATATGCAATTCATATAATTATTAAGTATCAAACTCTAATTCTAAGTTAAATATTTATTTATAAATTAAGTTAACGAGAGTGTAGCTATATTCTAAATGAGATAACTTGGACATTTATCAAATTCTTCAATTGTCTGATTTTGACTCCAACTCATGTTTGAGAGGTGAAGTAGGCTTTAAGAGTATTCAAATTTGGTATTCATGTATGCATTTCACCATAATGTGTAAAGAAAGAGATATTGAATCTAGCCACCATGTGAGAACAAACTAGCCAGTCTTGTTGCTCCTAGGTCTTAAATGCTACATTGATTTTCTTTTCTTCACATTTTTTATTAATAAGGTATTATGTTCATTTTTTCCCTTTTGTTTCTATGTTAATATATTTTTTGAGTTTGGTTCGTTTGAAGGCATCAATTGTTTGCTTCTTCTATGTGAGAAAGTTATCATCATCAAGTTTGGTGGATGAGACAATGGTGGAGATTTTGGTTTTTCATAGAGATAAATAGTTTGCTTCATCTCCATGGTTGTTGATATTTAAGTATGAATGCCTTGTTACCTATCAGGGTTCTATGTAATGAATATCTATTTAATACTTGTAAATTTTAATTAGATGCTGACTTGTTTGTGATATTTATCACTATTGTTTTAAGAGACGCTAGATCAATGAGATGATCTATTTATTACAATTTTAAGCTAAAAAAGTAAAAATGAGTTACATTTGTAAGTTAGACTCACTTAAATAGTCAACCGAAAGTTTTTAGATTGGAGATGACTTTAGTCTCTTAAATTTATAAAGATGCAAATCAATTTTTAAATTGAAAATTATTAACTACTAACTATTAGTTTCTTTATAAAATTTCTCATTGGAATGAGAACAATGTTAAATGTTAATAAGAAGGATCACGTTAACTAGTGCTCTACTGGTTAAGAATTCTAAATAAAGAATATATTATATATTGAATGCATTGAATACATTCAATATTTTGTAAAAAAAGTTAAGTATTTATATTTTCAATGTAATTAATACACATATTTTTAGAAAAAACTTATCTTTTCTATCTATTAAAGAATGTCTAAATTATCTTTTTAATCTCTTAACCAATATCTCAAAGGCACTCGTTAGCATTTCCCTAATAAAAATAAATAAAAAGTTGTTATTAATTTTGATTATTGATGGGTAAGATATCTACTTAACCAATTAGCAAATTTTTATAGTTCATTTATTATTGTTAGATATTATAATAAAACTACACAATTTTTTTAGAATGATGGCAGGTCTAACTCCAGAAGAAAAAAAGAAATTAAACAAAAATTACACGAGGGTTAGTAACCTCTAAAGCATTAGAGATTGATGTTATTGATATTGCTAGACAATCTTCGTAGTAATGAAGTCCAAGATCACGACTTAGAATCAGATTTGCCAAGACATTAACATAAAGATTTGCTCCCTAACACACATACGCAAATCACACTTCTCAATTCCAACTTATTAAATATTTGATTTGCTGCGTGAGATCCCATCCCACACCTAGATTAGTCTTTTTTTTAATCATTTATGACTTCAGTGATCCTATTGTTATTTGATTGGAGCTCCACCTTTTTATGCCCTATTCTAAACACAAACTTAAGCCTCTTAATCACACCCCATAACTAAGAGATTTTAACATTGCAAGTTCTAATATGCCCTTCACACTTATTTTGTTTTCACCAAATTGTCATTCAATTATTACTTTCTTCTTCTAATTGATTTATATTTTTATTAACATAATTATCGCCAATGAACAATATAGTTGTTTGATTAAAACTTTTTTCCATCAACGTTGAGGGGAATCTCTTCATTATATCTTGTTGAATTATTTGTAAAATTCTAAATATTATTGTATTTTAAAGTGGCTCTTAAAATGATTGTAATATGCTTGATTTCATCTCTTCTAATTTGGTTGACATCTTTAACTTCTTAAGTGACGACTTTAAAGGCAAACATCCATGTTATGTCTCTTGAAAGCCTCTTCCTTCAAATATTTGTAAGTTGAATGTTGATAGTGGTTCATTTGACAATCCATAAACTTTGACTATGATGTAATCATCCTCAATTCTAACACTGATTAGCTCATTGGATACTTTAACTATCGTGGTCACAATTAGACTACACTTGCGCGTGCTAAACAATTGATAATGATGGCTAAGAACACTTGCTGTCGTTCCATTATTTTTAAATATGAATCATATCAACATTACTTCTCTCAGACATTATTTCTTTCAGAGATAGATAAGTCCTTAATTCACCTTTATACATACATCATATACATCTAATATAAAAAAAAAACTTATAATTATAATCTTGGTTTCACTCGCACCCCTTTTCGTAAAAAAAACACTTATTAAACTACCAAATAATATGTTTCTTTCACACGAGATGATTGTCATTTTTCATTCATATCCAAGTCATTCATATTCACCTCGTGTCTTTTTTCCTCTTATTTCTTCATGTAATGAGAGTTAAATTCTAAATAAATAAATAAATTTTGTTTGTTTTTTTTATTCTCATACATAACTTTTTTCTTCTTAAATACAAAATTTTGAAGAGAGACATGCTTAAATTTAAAGGTGATATTTGTATTTTGTGAAGTTAAATGATTAATAAAATTCTAGAACTAAAAATACAAACATAAGAAAATAGGGTTTATACCCAAGTGAAGGTTCCCGCTCCAGTGACATAGTTAATAACAATAGAATGTTCATCTCAAATCTCTAAACCCTAACCCCTATTTCCTGCTCCGCCTCCCCTAACCCCTAACTCGGTAGCCATGTATCTCTACAACCTCACTCTCCAACGTCCCACCGGCATCATCTGTGCCATCAACGGAAACTTCTCCGGCGGCAGGGGCCAAGAAATCGTCGTCGCCCGAGGCAAAGTCCTCGATCTCCTCCGCCCCGACGACAACGGCCGAATCCAAACCATTCTCTCCGTCGAAGTCTTCGGCGCCATTAGGTCGTTAGCTCAGTTCCGTCTCACCGGTGCTCAGAAGGATTTCATCGTCGTCGGTTCAGATTCCGGTAGAATCGTTATTCTTGATTACAACAAGGAGAAGAATGTCTTTGACAAGATTCATCAAGAAACTTTTGGGAAATCTGGTTGTCGGAGAATTGTTCCAGGTCAGTATATCGCTGTAGATCCCAAAGGTAGAGCTGTTATGATTGGTGCTTGTGAGAAGCAGAAGCTTGTATATGTGTTGAATAGAGATACTGCTGCTAGGTTAACTATTTCTTCCCCGTTAGAAGCGCATAAATCGCATACTCTTGTTTTTTCTATTTGTGGTGTTGATTGTGGGTTTGAGAATCCTATTTTCGCTGCTATAGAGTTGGATTACTCTGAGGCTGATCAGGATTCTACTGGTATGGCCGCATCTGAAGCGCAGAAGACTTTGACCTTCTATGAGCTTGATTTGGGTCTTAACCATGTTTCTAGAAAGTGGTCTGATCAGGTTGATAATGGTGCTAATTTGCTTGTTACTGTTCCTGGTGGTGCTGATGGTCCAAGTGGGGTTCTTGTTTGTGCTGAGAATTTTGTTATTTATAAGAATCAGGGGCATCCGGATGTTAGGGCTGTGATTCCTTGGCGGCTTGATTTGCCTTCCGAGCGTGGTGTTCTCATTGTCTCTGCTGCTATGCATAAACTGAAGAACATGTTCTTTTTCCTTTTGCAGACTGAGTATGGCGATATCTTTAAGGTTACATTGGATCATGAGGGAGACCGTATCTCTGAATTGAAGATTAAGTATTTTGATACTATTCCGGTTACTTCTTCCATGTGTGTGCTCAAGTCGGGGTTCTTGTTTGCGGCCTCCGAGTTTGGAAATCATGCACTGTATCAGTTTAAGGCTATAGGGGATGATGATGACGTGGAGGCTTCATCTGCTAGGTTGATGGAAACTGAAGAGGGTTTTTCGCCTGTGTATTTCCAGCCTAGGAGACTTAAAAATCTTGTTAGAATTGACCAGGTTGAGAGTTTGATGTCAATTATGGATATGAAGGTCAGTAATCTGTTTGAAGAGGAGACTCCTCAGATTTTTACTCTTTGTGGGCGTGGACCACGATCTTCTCTAAGGATCTTGAGAACAGGTTTGGCTGTCAGTGAGATGGCAGTTTCTAAACTTCCTGGTACACCTAGTGCTGTTTGGACTGTGAAGAAGAATGTCATTGATGAGTTTGATGCTTATATTGTCGTGTCGTTCCTCAATGCCACACTTGTGCTTTCCATTGGCGAGACAGTTGAAGAAGTCAGTGAGAGTGGGTTTTTGGACACTACGCCCTCCCTTTCCGTTTCTTTGATAGGCGATGATTCTCTCATGCAGGTCCATCCAAATGGTATTAGGCATATTAGGGAGGATGGTCGTATTAATGAATGGAGAACTCCTGGAAAGAGGACAATTGATAAAGTTGGGTCGAATAGACTTCAGGTGGTTATTGCTCTGAATGGAGGGGAGCTTATATATTTTGAAGTGGATGCTGGTCAGTTGATGGAGGTGGAGAAGCATGAAATGTCTGGCGATGTTGCTTGTTTGGACATTGCTCCAGTGCCTGAAGGCAGGAAAAGATCTCGTTTTCTTGCAGTTGGCTCATATGACAAGACAATCAGAATCTTATCACTGGATCCTGATGACTGTATGCAGACTCTAGGTATACAGAGTCTTTCTTCTGCTCCAGAATCTCTTCTTTTCCTTGAAGTTCAAGCATCTATTGGCGGTGAGGATGGTGCAGATCATCCTGCTAGCCTTTTCCTGAACGCTGGTTTGCAGAATGGTGTCTTGTCTAGAACTGTGGTGGATATGGTCACAGGTCTGCTTTCTGATACTCGCTCCCGATTCTTAGGATTGAGAGCCCCCAAACTGTTTCCCATTATCGTAAGAGGAAAGCGTGCTATGCTCTGCCTTTCAAGTCGCCCTTGGCTTGGTTATATTCACCAAGGACACTTTCTCTTAACACCCCTTTCATATGAAACCCTTGAATTTGCTGCTTCATTTTCATCTGACCAATGTGTGGAAGGCGTAGCTGCTGTTGCTGGTGATGCTTTGAGAATTTTTACCATTGAAAGATTAGGAGAAACATTTAATGAGACAGTTATTCCACTTAGATACACACCTAGAAAATTTGTGTTGCAACCCAAACGGAAACTGTTGGTGGTGATTGAGAGTGATCAAGGAGCATTTACTGCAGAACAGCGTGAAGCTGCAAGGAAAGAGTGTTTTGAGGCTGCTCAAGCTGGGGAAAATGGGACAGGAGGTGCAGACCAAATGGAGAATGGTGGAGAGGATGAGGATAAAGATGACCCCCTCTCCGACGAGCATTATGGTTATCCAAGAGCTGAATCAGATAAGTGGGCGTCCTGCATCAGAGTTCTTGATCCAAGAACAGGAAATACAACCTGTCTTTTGGAACTTCAGGATAATGAGGCTGCATTCAGCGTATGCACAGTAAATTTCCATGATAAAGAATATGGAACCCTTTTAGCTGTTGGCACAGCAAAGGGACTGCAGTTCACGCCCAAAAGGAGTTTAGCTGCTGGATTTATTCATATATATAGGTTTCTAGAGGATGGAAGGTCTCTCGAACTACTTCACAAAACTCAAGTTGAAGGCGTTCCTCTTGCTCTAAGTCAGTTTCAGGGAAGGTTACTTGCAGGAATAGGGCCTGTTCTCAGACTGTATGATTTGGGGAAGAGAAGATTATTAAGGAAGTGTGAGAATAAACTATTCCCCAACACAATTGTCTCTATTCAAACCTACCGTGATCGAATTTATGTTGGTGACATCCAAGAGGTATGTTTCTATTCAATGTTTCTCTCTATTTGTTAAATATCTGGATATCTAAGTTAGGCATTCTAACAAGCAGTGACTTTCCGTTATGATGTCTGGTATTCTGTTAAAATCGGACATAGCATTAGCTTCTGACATTAACTTGTCTTTGGCCGCAGTGTTAATATTTGAATTTTACTAAACTGGTTTATATTAGAGCTATATTAGAAAACTTGATTGAGTCTCAGATAAAACTTTCTAAATTTTAGACAGCGTGCCTATTCAGACTCAATGTACTGCTGCTCCCTGATTTCTGTTTCAATTATAAGATCTTTATCTAATTGTGTTTTGTGTATACTCTCCAGTCTTTTCATTACTGCAAGTATAGACGGGATGAAAACCAACTTTACATATTTGCTGATGATTGTGTTCCGAGATGGCTTACGGCATCATACCACATAGATTTTGACACCATGGCAGGTGCGGACAAGTTTGGAAATATCTACTTTGTGCGGTTGCCGCAGGATGTATCTGATGAGATAGAAGAAGATCCTACTGGCGGGAGGATAAAGTGGGAGCAGGGGAAGCTGAATGGAGCTCCCAACAAGGTAGAAGAAATTGTACAATTTCATGTCGGCGATGTGATCTCATGCCTGCAAAAGGCCTCTCTTATACCAGGTGGTGGAGAGTGCATTTTATATGGAACTGTTATGGGAAGTATTGGGGCATTACATGCTTTTACTTCACGAGATGATGTTGATTTCTTTTCTCATTTGGAGATGCATATGAGGCAAGATAACCCACCGTTGTGCGGAAGAGACCACATGGCGTATAGATCTGCCTATTTTCCTGTTAAGGTAAACCTAATCCATATTACGCCGTAGATTCTCTCTGTTATTACTATGTACTGTTTGCTAACCATATTTTCATGGTTGGGTTTGCCTGCCTAGGACTTGTTATACTATGCTTTCGGACTTGCTAACCAAATGTTTAATTTTGTTCATTTAGTGTATTTTAACCATAGTATGAATTGCTTGACAAACTGAGTTCTATGTATTTGTGTAGGATGTTATTGATGGTGACCTATGTGAGCAATACCCAACATTGCCAATGGATTTGCAGCGAAAAATTGCGGATGAATTGGATAGGACCCCTGGAGAAATACTGAAGAAACTCGAGGAAGTACGAAATAAGATTATTTAAGAAATGATGATTAGAGAGGTATGATCTCCCATATTTCGGTTGTTTTACTCTCTACAACTATTATGATTTATAGGGGCGTAACTAGTAGTAACCTATACTTATAGATGCAAGAAGCCAATAATTTTGATTTGACGAATATTTTATACTGTGATTCTGTATTTTGTGCAGGTATTGTACGCCCAAGGTTAGAGTCACTAACAGTGAAGAAAGCATGTGTTTTTCATTCATACGGGAAGGTGGAAGCTGTGATTTATTTGTCTATTATGACTCTCTGTACTCTGCATTTGTAGTGTCTTGTTGAAGTGAAAAACATAAGCCGCAGTTGGCAATTTATGTTGTAATTAATGATTAACTGTTAATTTCATGCTTTGTGGATGTGATAAAACACATCTCTCTCAATCTAACCTCTCAGTGAGATGTTTAGATTATTTCAACAGTTTGTCATACTTGCACGCAATATTTACTTAAGCAATTAAATAATAAGTTGATAACTTCAACCAGTCGCTTTAAGTCATTTATCACCAACGTCGTGAATGATATAGGTGTGTAGAAATATTTACTTAAGCAATTAAATAATAAGTTGATAACTTCAACCAGTCGCATTAAGTCATTTATCACCAACGTCGTGAATGATATAGGTGTGTAGAAGTTTTCTTCTTTTATCCGTTAATCAGTTAAGTGAAGTCGATTGGAGATTTGTTTTGATATTGATTGATTGGGATAGTTTTTGAATTATTAGATTAATTTTCTATGATAAAGATTCTCTTTTTATATTCATTGAGTAATGAATATATTTGGTCTACGTAAAAGATTAAAGAGAGCATACATTTATTTGCTCATAAATTTAATTAATACTTAGTGATTATGATTATTTGAGAGCATACATTTATTTCCTCATAAATTTAATTAATACTTAGTGATTATGATTATTTATTTAGTGTTTTGAATTATCATTTACTTTTAAGATTAGCAAAAATAATTGACATACACAAGTGGTGTCTTGGAATGGTTTTTAATATTCAATATTGTTATAGTGCTCTTAAAATATTGAAACATCCATTTCTGGTTCATTATAATTTTTTTTTAAAAATGAGAAATATTCTCAATTTTCTTCTCTACTTTTTTTTCCAAACTCAAACGTAGATAAAGTCATACAAGTTATAGTACCTAAAACATTGAAAATTTGAATATATATCATTATTAAATATTTAGAACATATTATTAATTCAATTATTATCAATATAATCATTTTAAACTTTTGGATAGTATTAGTGAAATTTACATGAATTACAAATATAGAATTATAAAAACTATTACTAATATAATTATATGATAATTAAAACTATATATATTTAGTTTCAATATAAGAAACAATTAATATAGTTGTGCATCAGTCATTAACGTTACTGTTTAATTATATTAATTGTTGCCTTTTGGAAATTATGATAACAAAAAAAAGTTTTATAAATAGTATTTTTATTTAATAAATTATAATATTAACATTTATGATTAATATATTATAATATTAATAGTAAGTAGATTAGTATATTATTATATTAGTATTTTTATTCATACATAATTATATTAATTGTTATTTTTAAAATGCAACAAAATTATATATTTATAATTATATTAGTAGAAAATAAATTTTGAATTTATATATAATTAATTTTAGTTTTTGGATAACATGATAATACATGTTTATATATAATTATTAAATAAATATATTATCTGTAAAATTATTTCAATCGATTATCATTATTTTCAAATGACAAGAAATCAAACATTTTATTTCGTAAAAATATAACCTAAATTAATTTTGGGGAAAATTATATAAATTACAAACCAAAAGGACTATAAAAAGAGAAATTAATATGATTCATTAAATAAGATATTGTTCTTATTTCTAACAATAATCAAGATTTTTCATTAGAGTCGGCATGTATAATTATACTAATTGTTATTTTTAAAATGCAACAAAATTATATATCCATAATTATATTAGTAGTAAATAAATTTTAAGTTTATACATAGTTAATTTTAGTTTTTGGATATCATGTTAGCTATATAATTATTTCAACCGATTATCATCATTTTCATAAAACAACAAATGAAATATTCTGTTTCTTAAAATATAACCTAAATTAGTTTTAGCGAAGATTATATAAATTCTAAACCAAAAGAACTATAAAAAGAGAAATCAATTTGATTCATTAATTCTAACGAATTGAAATTTAGTGATATGGTTCTAAGGTGTTCTCTTTTGAGAGCATCCTTATATAATTTCAATTATTACTAATGTATGTGAAATATGTGTCATTAATTAAAAGTCTTTTAACTTAGTTTCTTAATGATAAATCAACCTAAAATTTAGTGATGGAGAAGAAGAAAAATATTAAATTGTTTACATCTATAATACCATAATACAATATGAATATGGTAAATAAATATACTATAGAGCTTCATTATATAATTTTAATTATTATCAATGTATATGAAATATGTGTCATTAATTAATAGTCTTTTAACTTAGTTTCTTAGTGATGAAGCAACCTAAAATTTGGTGATGGAGAAAAAGAAAAATATTGAAATTGTTTACATATATTATACCATAATACAATATAAATATTGTGAATAAATATACTATCGAGCCTCATTATATAATTTGAATTATTAAGAGAGAGAGAGAGAGAGAGAGAGAGAGAGAGAGAGAGAGAGAGAGAGAGAGAGAGAGAGAGAGAGAGAGAGAGAGAGAGAGAGAGCTAATACCATGGATGAAAAGGGTGCTAATACCTTCCCTTTTCATAATCTACCCCCTGAACTCAAGAAACAATCTCAAAGGTATTTCCTGTGCTTTTTCACCTTTCCTTTTGGATAAAAGAAAAGTCGGTGGCGACTATAGCTAACCGCAACATTTGCGATAAAACGCAAAACAACCAAGTCAGTTCTCCCACCGTATCGCCAGAACTGGCGACTCTGCTGGGGAAAATTTTAAAAGTGGGGTTACCTTAGGGTTTAGATTACATTTACTTGCTTACATTGTTTGACTTGTATGCTTTACATTATGGTTCTATGTTTGGGTTTGAATCCTCTACCTGGATTTGGGATACATTATAGGTAAGTAGCAATACGTTGTGGAAACTGTGCGGGGTATATCGACATGGTCTAAGCAATAGCTACGTTAGTGCGACATATTTGTGGGTACCGGTAGCCTTTGAGTTAATCAAAGAGAATACGCGGCCGCTGAGTGATGTCATGAAGCACTAATGAACTTTTAGAACCTTTACTTGACCAACTTGGCCTTTAGGATGTAGTAAGATGACCGACTTTGATACAGTCTAAAGTTGGTAGATACTCGATACTACACTCATTGAGGTTTGGTTTCTTGGGATATTTTGGTCGCCATTAAAGAGGCTTGAGCTGAAACAATGATCAAGGAAACAATCTGGTGATATTGAGCTCCTTAGAACCCGATTACTATTACTAGGACAGGTTTAAGCCAACTAAACTTCAAGAGGGTACTTACCTATAAAACTCCATGCAAGCCTAAACTAAGGACTTGTTTGCTTTGCTTGTATATGCATACTTGTACATAACATCATGGACATCTTGAACATCATATAAATCCACTAACCATTTCAAGGATTTTTGGGGATTCATCTTTGTTTTTGTTTTGTAGGATATGGATTCACTTCATAGGAAAACTATTCAAGTCAACCTTGTAAGAATTCCTCCACAACTTAAGGAGATAACTTCAAAGATTCCTGAGAACTCTCCACTCACCGAAAAACATGGACGTCTACTCAACTTGGTCACCTCCAACACAGATGAGGATATGATGAAGGTGCTCTTTCAGTTCTTTGATCCTTTGCACCATTGCTTCACATTTCCCGACTATCAACTTGTGCCTACTTTGGAAGAATTCTCCCAACTCTTGAGGATTCCCATTCTCAATCAATTACCTTTCAACGGTGCAGAAAGAGATCCAAAGCCAGAAGAGATTGCTCAAGCTCTACACTTGCACTCATCTGATGTCACAACTCATTGGGAAACTAGGAGTGGTGTCAAAGGCTTCTTAGCAAAGTTCCTGTTGGAGAAAGCCCAAAGCTGTTGGAATTCCTTAGACTTGTAAGCCTTTGAGGAAATTGTGGCTCTTCTCATCTATGGGATGATTTTGTTTCCAAATCTTGACCAACTCATAGATGTGAACTCCGTCAAAATCTTCATGTCATGCAACCCAGTGCCTACATTTCTAGGGGATATCCTACACTCTTTTCACACTTGCACAATGAGGAAAAGAGGTGTTCTTATGTGTTGCACTCCTCTCTTCGCAAGATGGTTTATTTCTCATCTTCCCCAATCAGTCTTAAAGAATGAGCAAGGATTAAGGTGGTCACAAAGGTTGATGACGCTCAAACATTCAGACATTCATTGGTGCTCTTGATCTAAAGAGAATGTTATCATCGTCGACCGTTGTGTAGAATTCCCTAGTGTCCCTCTACTTGGCATTAGTGGAGGCATCACCTACAACCCATGTTTAGCCTTAAGACAGTTTGGTTACGCCCGATGGGATGGCCGGCACGAGATGCTGATTCAAGGTTTGATATTCGACTACGACAACAATGATCAAGGTCTTTGCCCGAGATTTATCTGAGATTAGAGGATGCTAAACAAGGTGGATAGTAAGACTTTGGGGCACAAGAATTCCATCCCTCTTGAGGCTTACCTCAAATGGGTACAAACTCGTGCTCAGAGTCTTATGATGCCTTACCCCTCCATTCTCCCGGTAATCATTAAGCCTGTCAAGGAGGGAGATGTTCCATACCCTATCCTACATCCTGACATGCCCACATCTCTTGAAGACCTACAAAGGTATTGGATATAACTCAAAGGAGAGCGAGATACTTTCGAAGCCCAATTCTACGCAAGCGAGAAGAAGGTTTTGGAACTCACTAGGCTACTTCATGAGGAGCGGACTCTAAATGCCTACATTGCACCAA